TTTGCTGTTTTGCCAGTGGGATTTATTTGCTATGAAAGCATTTGATGTGGATGCTGTCATGTATAAAGCATGTGCAAATTAAAATGTGATGCACACAGTTTTCCAAATCCAACTTTTGTGGCTGCGCGAGCGGCTCTGTCACTTCGGCTTATTAGCACTTGATGATTACTTGTTAGCTTTGGATTAAACAGGCAGCTGATGGAGGCTCTTTGAGTTCTGCAACCCGAACATAAGCCCTAACATCTACATCGAGGCGTTGTGTTTCTCTTTTCGAAAACGGTTGGAGGCATAAAAGCATCGCAAAATATGAGTGGTGTAAAAATTCGGTGTTAATGAGGATGTGATTGAAATTAAACAATCACCTACACTCCAAACAAAAGAGGAGCCGTATTATGCAAATGGATGAAGCATTCATGCTTTTCAGTGGTTGAAGGGGCTTTTGATGTGCCGGAGACAGTCACACAAAAGAGAGAAATTTCCAAATCATACAGCTTCACTGTTACTGAAAGCTTATTTTTCTCACTTTCCCAGCCCTCTTTGATTCTTTTTATCCCAACACGGCAAAAGTACAACCCCGTTTCCAAAACATGAAAGAAAAATTTAAAATGATTAAATATATATATACATATATTTTTTAATCTACATTTAACTGAAAATAGTACAATCAAAAATGTGACAGTCAAAAAGAAATGCAGATTGTACTACTATAACATATAGTATTATATAGAAGGCATTTAATAGGAGGCACAGCCTTCTCTGGACGCGATGTAAGCACGCCTGCAGCTGTGCAACCCTGCATGTCCCAGACGTGTTCAGCAGCAGACCGCTCTGGCGGTGTGCGGATGGGCTTTGTCCTGCTGAAACAGCAAGAGTGGCACAAATACATGTGCAAGGCTGCAGCAACGTACATGCCAACAGCCCAGCTTTGACCAACTTCAGCCAGTCGCAGCGTGCTGGCAATGATGTTCATTTGCACATTTGTGTTTGGTAAACTAATCCTGCCACTCGTTAACCAATCAGCTGGAAGGTTTGGGTTTTCTGAGAGATTAAGATGATGTGAAAATGAAGACTGAAAATATTTCACAGCATAAAAAAGACCAGCCCGATCGCCCCTAAAAAAACACCTTGTAGCAAAGATGGAGCTGTGGACACTGTGAAAATACTCCACGGCCAGAAAGTTAGGTGAAAAGAATTGGGGATTTCATCATTTACAGCAAAATATAATTTAAAAATCCAGAGAAATGTCTGTAGTAAAGACCAAGGCCCCAAACCCTGTTTTACAGCCTTTATCTTCAGGGCTTTAGACAGCAGTATAGCCGAGTGTAAAGAGAGGTCCCTTTATCCATTTCCATGAGACAATTTTGTGTTTTCAAAGAACATCCTTTGCCTTGTCATTTTGACGATTGAATCCAGCCGAGATATGGAGTCACAGACTCGGCTTCAGAAAGTCGCTGCACTGAAATGCAAGTACAGCGACTATGTTTCTCCGAGGCCAATCTCAAAGCGATGGAGCTGTAAGGCCAAGTTTCATTTCTATGAGCAGCCAGTTTCACAGCAGCCGCCTCGGCTGCATAATACAGGTGATCATAGATCTTTTATTTGTTTTTTGAGTAAACGTTATAAGGGCTAATAAACTGTTTTGTGGACCGGTCGAGGGTCAATAACCCTTGACGTGATTAAAGCATGTCTGGGCCTTGATGTGATTCTCATTTCCCATTGTGGCCTTTAGTGAAACTGAATTTGAAACCCCCATACAAGCAGGAGCGGTGTTAAATGCACATCATTTAATTCTGTTTTCTCTTACATGTTACATAGTTCACAAGTTCAGAGGCAGGGCGCTACTGGTGATATTTATAGATCTAACACAAAGAACAACAACTCACATTTGTGAGGCCACCGAGCTCATAAGTTCTGAGCTTTTCCACAGAGAATAAATTAGAAGACAGGAGGATTTTTCAAGGGCTAAGGGTTCGTTTCCTGGTACAGAATGTCCCGGAATGTACTCAAATATTGACTGAGCTGTCCTCAAACACCAAAATAACACGCAGGAGTTGAGTAGCAGAGCCCTGTAATAGTCAGAAGAACATTATCCTGAATAAATTATGCTCCAGATTAGATTAGATTACATTAGTTGATCTGTAACGATTCTCCACGGGAAGGCTGGGCCATCAGTGCGTCAGGAAACAGGCCGAGAGAAAACAAAAAAGTGATGCTGTTTAAATCTTAAGGGGATTCTTTTATTGTGTGAGCTTAATCCACAGCAGAGTGAGCAGTTTGCCACTAAGGATGAGTGTGGTAGGAGTGAGAAGCACCTTTGTCTGGAATTTCTTCTTCCTGTCTGGCAGTAGGTAAATCTTCACGTACGGGTCAGAGAAGCCATTGGCATCCTTCGCTGGCAGGTCCAAAGCTTTCAGTATCTTCACCACCAACTGCTCCGTACTGCGAGAAACATACACAGAAAACTCCAATAAACTTGTATATAAAAAGCCAAGACGCCAGAGGTCTCCCAAATTTGCACGAACGCGTATGAGCCTTAGACAGGGTCAGCCTCCCCACACACCCAAACACCTCAGCAGAACTCATATACACGTATAATAGTGTGGGAGGTTCAGCGTCTCTGGTGTAAAGAGTATCCAGAATAGCTTGTGTGGTGTGTGCGTCTGTGTGTGTGTTTGTGTCTTATCCCTGCAGCTGTATCTCGGTTGCACTATCAGC